ACAAATGATGATACAAGTGCCATGAACATATTTCAAAAATATTGGCATAATTTAAAATATCGTTTCAAAACACAATTAATGCCTACAAAACGCATACTTGTGCTGATCTGCCTGTGCTCTGCGCTATACGCCATGTTAAACGGCATAAGCACCTCAACCAATATTAATCTGTCAGAGTTTGCACAGAAATCGGAACTACATATCAGCCCATCATATGTTACATACATTAACACCGGTATCTCAACGGCAGGTGCTATAAGCCATTTACTGGCTATACCCCTATCCAGATATATAGCCCCTAAATATATCATATTAATTGGTTTACTATTAGTATTATCAGCACAAATAGCACTACTATTTACGAATAGATCCCTGATCAGTTTATGGATAGGTTGTATAATTTATGGTGTAGGTTATGCACCATTAACAGCCAGTAAATACTAAACCCATTTCTACCTGATAATTCAAGTTTAACTAATGATACTATTATAAATAACGATATGATCAAGGTGACTCAGTCGAGACTCGCCATACCATTCGCCATAATAGGGATAATTATTGCTATCTTTGCGCTAATTATAGGTTCTGTGTATTTATTCCGTACACATATCCCACAGAATATTCTGGTGGCAAATGTGAGTAACCCGGATAGAAATGATGATACAAGTGCCATGAACATATTTCAAATATATTGGCATAATTTAAAATATCGTTTCAAAACACAATTAATGCCTACAAAACGCATACTTGTGCTGATCTGCCTGTGCTCTGTGCTAAACGCTATGTTAAACGGCATAAGCACCTCAACCAATATTAATCTGTCAGAGTTTGCACAGAAATCGGAACTACATGTCAGCCCATCATATGTTACATACATTAACACCGGCATCTCAACGGCAGGTGCTGTAAGCCATTTACTGGCCATACCCCTTTCCAGATATGTAGCCCCTAAATATATCATATTAATTGGTTTACTATTAGTATTATCAGCACAAATAGCACTACTATTTACGAATAGATCCCTGATCAGTTTATGGATAGGTTGTATAATTTATGGTGTAGGTTATGCACCATTAACAGCCAGTACCTATCAAATGGTTAAACAAATTACCCCGTTAACTGAGCTAGTTGTTTTTCAATTGCTTATACTGTCAGGAATAGTGGATTTAGTGGTACCCTTAATAATGAGTAAACTAATGGAAATCAATGTGTTTTATATGGTTTATATGAATATTTTATTTACTGGGTTAGCAATGGTTATATTATTATTGATTCAACTAACGTTTTATCAACACTACCATGGTCCTATAATTGATCATGAAGTACATAATGATTCTGTAAATACAGAATCCTGCAATAGTTAGTTATAAATAATTCATGTATGAGAATCATAATACAGTATTTTTATTGAATTATGTAATAATAAATTAATTTGTTTTAATCAATATTTAAAACCGATATAAATCTTGCTACTATAATTTGGAAATATATTTAATTTCATTTAAGTTTATTTTAATTAATAAACACTACTATTGTATTATTCTATATCTGTGCTTTACTTTAATAACAAGTTTAAAATACTAATAAAATAAAGTTAATATGCTATCTAATAAAATGTGTAATAATTTTATTTATATTTATTCAAATCTTAGAAAATATTATCAGTCATACTATAGGTATATCAGACGACAAATCTCGAGTAAAATATTAATAATTAATTATTAGACTAATTCTAAACAAAAATTATTAATTGATTTTAAACAAACTTCAGTTTAATATTGATTTAATGGTGAAATGAAAATGACTGTAAAAGTTGAGATGATCTGTTAGATTGCTTTTAACCAATGGTTGAATTCATTTTGTTTTACATTTTGGTGTAAATGTGTTTAGTGTTTAAATACGTGTTGATTACTAATTGTCTTTCGTTTGACATTACATTCAATACATTCGCAGTGTTTGTCCACAAGTCTAATGTCACGTATGCCTCCACTCTATGACTGCACATTAGCCCATATAAGAGGTCTCTATTCCCATACACACAGCAGTCTATATCCAACACTCCATGTGTTCACACAATACAGTCTCAGTTAATGTGAATTCAGTTGAATTTATTTTCATTTGTGTTTAAGACTACTAATAGCATAATAATGTCTCAAATCTATAGTAAAGACTCTTTGGACAGATTTGGTGACGATTTGTGTCAACACTTATTGAGTTACCTATCATTTGAGGACCGATTCAGATATGAATGTCTGTCCAAACAGTGGCAACGAGTCGTATATCAGACACAAACACAACTCATAATTCCTCGCAAATTGTTTCGTCCAAATAATTTAGAGACCTTTGGTTTCACATCATTTGAAGCAATGCTTAAAAAGTTACCCAATATTACGGCCATTGAGTGCTGGTTCTGGAGCTTTGATAACAATATAATTGAAATGATTATCAAATATTGCTGTCATTTAAACGCTATT